TAACTACCAATGTCTTCTTTATTTCACAGACCATTGGAATTCATTGATTGTGACCCTCTAATAGATCATAAGGGTAATAAAACTGCAAAGGAAGAAGATGGTGGTTATGGCTGGGTTAAGGTAAAATAGCTCATACTGTTTCAGTCTTTACTGTCAAACAGAAACAGGTGACATTGGAATCAGCTTCTGTGGAGATAATTATTCCTTTCTCCCCATGTTTCCATTGTACTTATTTTCCCAAATTTCTGTGTGTCTAACATTACATTAGCCACATTGCTGTTAAATCAGTAATATTATTGAATTCAGGCAATTTAATGAATTAAAATGGCAAACAACCTAAAACAACTGGAAAAATTTAACCATTGGAAAGTAAAATCTCTAATACTGAATATAGTACTAAATTTTATGACATGTTCATAAAGCAAAACTGAGGAAAGGTACATGAATTTGTGTGCAATAGTAACAAATGCAACAGTGTAAATAATGATTCCATTTCAGGATCACTCTTGAAATTTGAAGAAAGAAATTGAAATTTTAGTTTATGAAATTTTTGTACTTGTGTGTGGTACTACATTTCACAAAATTTATATTCAGATTTTTGAGATAACATTGAAATTTACTGTGCAAAATAACTCTGAATATGATGTTTATATATGAGTAGCTTTTCGCACCCTAGTTTGGTGGATATAGATATGAAGATGTTGAAAAAGGAAAGAGAAACTGCACAGTACTACAAGACATAGAATGTGAAGGTGAAAGAACATTTGGACGGGATGGCTTTCCCTGTATCAAGTAAGTGTTTTTATATTGTTGGGTAACTTTTATACAAAGCAAAATAAAATAAAAGTTTCTGTGGAGTTGGATCCCTTCATTTGTCAACAAATGATGTACTTTCAGCAGTACTACTGATGAGTCAATTCTTTAATTACATTTGAACGGACTTATGAGGTTACCTCAAGACTTCGTGATCAATTCTGAAACATTACTTTACATATTTTTCCAAACATGTTTTTGATACTGTTGTTATATTGACTCGAATGCCTTCAAGTATTTAGAGATGAGACTCCCTGAGGAAGCCTTGGTTTTGTGAACATAAATCATGCGGGACGAATCAAGTCTGTAGAATGTGAGAAAACGTTGTGTTTGCTTTTGGCCAACTGTTGAATTTCTGAAAGTTCACTTGGAAGACATGTTATGATGCAGAATTCACTTTTCCAGCCAGAGATTAGGTCTCTTTGGTGTATTGCAGGACTTTGAGAGAGAATGTTAGTTTGGTTTGGAGGAAAATCTTCAAAAATTGATAATTATATCGATACTAATTAAAACTGAACACCATGTTTTTGATGTTGTATCCTAACATTGTTTTCTTTCTCCCAGTTTCAGCAATTTTGGCATTTTGTTTCTCTATCACATTGGAAGATCATGTCACTTTTTTCTTCTTGCTGCTGAGATGTTTCACTGCGAGTTTGGCTAATGTTAAGATCTGCTAGTTCTACAATCATCTGTACATCAAATTACAGTAATTTCTCATTTCATATGTTGAGCAGTGCTAAGGGCTAACAGGACCTCCAAATATCATACCTTTGTTGAATATGATAATTACTGTTACAAGTATGGTGGTTACTACTTTGCTAACACCATCATCTACAGTATTTTATTAAGTTTCTTAGGTATGGACAGATTTTGTTTGGGGCAAACAGGAACAGCTGTTGGAAAACTATTCACTTTAGGTGGTGTTGGAATTTGGTGGATTGTTGATATAATATTGTTAGTGACAAATGGATTACAACCAGAAGATGGAAGCAACTGGAATCCATATGTATAAGTGACTTTGGATTTTATACTATATGCATAACATTTTACATTACTGATGTAAAATATTATGAAACCAGTGTGACCCAGGGTTCATAATCAACATTTCATCTACTGATTACAAAGACTGAGGTTATGTGATTATAATAAAACACTATTTGATGCTTAACACAATTACACAAAAATATATTTCACCATGCGGTTCACCATCCAAAATACATTATTTTACTTCAGTGCTGTTCAAAATATAAATTGTGCAATCAATATAAATTATAAAGATTTCTGTCTTCTGGGTTATTGCGCTGTGTAGTCTGGTCGATGTTAACCAACGTTTCAGAGGTCATACTGCCTCCGTCATCAGGCCCTTCCTCAACCATCCAACATTATTTTAACAGTAATAAACATTGCATCCATTCCACAGGCCTTCACAACTAGAACATTTCTAGGCTGAGGTCTCTAAATGGTGTTGAACGATGCCCAATATTCTAGTTACAAGACAAACATCACAGGGAATAAATCTGGCATATTACAGGAACTAGCTTTTAATGTCTCACATAAAGTCAATTGAAATATATATTATTCTCCTTAACAAAATGGTATAAAAATGGAAAATTCATTTGAAATATCATTCAAAACAAAGGCAAAAATAAAATGCAAGTAACTGATATATAATGGATTACATACAGATAACACTGAAAACATGACTCAACTTAACTTACATTCTTACATAGGAAATGTCATGGAATGTACATAATGGAGGTTTCACACTATGCTGTTCTAATAGTTATTGGACATCATGGTTATTAATGCATCATACATACATACATACATAAGAACAGTGACATTTTATTTTGGAGTATTTTCAGACTTACTAATAGCTAAACATATTCAAATTAATAACTGCATAGTAAATAATTTCCCAAAGCACCAATTAAAAAACACGAAGCATTTATGAACAAATTATATATACATATAATATATATATATAGAAATTCCTTCATATTCTTGGACCCTACATAGTAAATTCAGCACCAGAAACATTTATAAATGGATGCATTTGTTTCCATTTAGACCAATAATAGTTCCGTGGTGTAATTCTTTGTCACTAGATGCACAAGGCTACCATTTGGGGGAAGTTCTTCTCCTCTGCTTTACCGAAGAAATAATCTGGAATTATTCCTTAAGCTTTAGTAGGCATATTATGTTATTAAGTTACAATGCAACCACAAGGATCAACAAGATTAGGAAAAATGCTCAGTGACAGGGGCGTGTAAAATCTGATAATGGATGAACTACATAACCTTCAAGTCCTTCTCCTGACTTCTAATTATGTATATCACAATATGACATTACATTTTTAATCAGTAATGTGGCTAGAGTAATATTAATTGTTGAAGTGGTTATCATGGTGATATGTGACAACATAGTTTTAAGGGTACAGATTTGTAAAAAAATCGCTACTTACATTCTTGAAATATGGCAAAATGTTAAAATAAATTATTAGTTATAGGTGAATAGCTTCGCAGTCTACCCCTTACTGTACTTTGCCAGAATTTAAATTGTACAGTGCTAAGTAACTTCTAAAGTAAAAAACAAACTTTATATGTTGCAGCAGCCTTTGTTTTTACTAATTTCTTGCTGCTACTCTGTACTTACTCTGCTACAAATTCAAGTGGTGTCCAGGTTGAGAAGTCTGCATTTGGCATCCATTTGCGATTCATTGGCGTGTCGAGGGTCACTGGAAGGTTAGCAACTGACAGAGAGTTTGGTGGAAGTCCACTATTATCTGCAGCTAAGGACTTTGTGAGCTGGTGAACAGCTGCCTTTGCCATTCCATATTCAATCATACCTGCAGTTGTTAAAAAGAAGCAGTGAAATATGTAATTGACCACCGTTTGTACTTCAGCCACTTCCAAACATGACAGTTTTACACAAGCACTATGTAAGTGTATCAGTTTATATAATATATATGTACATTTTACAGTATGAGCACAAAACTGAAATTTGGGCATGGAAGACAGCTGACAACATTAAAAAAAGCAGGCTGAAATATAATGTACTTGTGTATAATTTAAATCAGTAACTCTGGTCTGAGTTCATATAACATACATTTTTATACCATTTCCACTACACACAACACAAGTGATTAAACATTTGAAGATAACTGTTCTATAGTTTGTTGGACTGTGTAGTCTGGTAGAAGTTTACTGATGCTTCAGAGATGAAGCATCAGTAAACTTATACCAGACTATATAGAGCAGCCGGAAGACAGCTATCTTCATACTCGCTACTGTGAAAACCTGACATGTTCCTTGCTTTCAGGCAGTTTCCAGTATTTTTTTGATTGTAAAGAAGTAATTTATATAGCAATTCTGATGTAATCTTTGGGCCACCCTGTTGTTATACATAAAAAAACTGTTAGTTGTAACATGCCACTCCCCTTCTGCTCCCTGTAACCTATCAGGCAGATTACAGCACGTATAAAAACTGGAATATTAGGTTCCCAGTTACTTGAAATAAGGCTTGTTCACTTTTTGTGTAAAGTACTATCTTGTGTTTCCTAATGCTTTATATGATGTTTTACATTATTAATCGGTAGTCAGGAAGGAGGGTTTTAAATGCATACAAACTGTTTAATTTAAACCCATATTACTGAGCATCAAAGATTTAAAAACTTAAAACATATTTTACACATGCATAAAAAATTAATTTTAGGTGAAAAAATGAGGACACATGATTTTCTGGTTAAGAAAATGGTTAAATACCATAAACATGGGGGGGATGCTGCATGTTCCAAATATTTTTACAACACTATATATCAATGATTAACAAAGAAGAAGATTTCCGTCTTCTGGGTTGTTGCGCTGTGTAGTCTGGTCGATGTTAACCAACATGTCAGAGGTCATACTGCCTCCGTCATCAGGGCCTTGCCCAGGGCAGCGTAGGCAGCATCCTCCAATGGCCTTCAGCTCAGGTTAACCACAGTTTTCTTCGTGTCGGGCCGCGGGCCTGCATGTTGAGCTCCATGCAGTCGTTGGAACTTCTGGCACTGCCTGACTTTGTCGTCAGCTGCAGCACGTGAAATCCTCTCGAAGGTGATGCGGTCGATGAGAGCCCAGTTCGCGGTGGACAA